TGATGGATCACGTGAGCTAGTTTCAATCCTGGTTATGTAGTCTATAATATCTATACTTCAACAGTGCCATTATTCAGATATTGGCACTGTGGTTAGTGCCAATATTTGGATATTGGCACAGTTCAAAGTTCAACCACTGTTCACAAACAAAATGGAATGAATGGATTTACTTCAACTGAAAATTAACATTAATTGTACAATTTTTGCATGCAGAAAATGTTGGATGAATATTCTGAGGAGAATCTTCTTTCTTAAATAACTTTGTATCTTCATCTTTTACAAAAGTAGCTCTAGTATCATCTTCAACTTTAACACATTTCTCATTTTCATTAATCTTAGAAAACACCAAAGGAGAGGAGGAAGACAGAATGCTAGACACATTCTCATGTTGCTTAGGTGAAGCCCTCTCATAGCAACGAAGAGACTCTAATGAGAGGTGTCCAGACCTTTCTTGAACAATCTTCTCCAGGACATGTGCATTAAAGAGTCTAGTCGTTTCAGTAACTCTGAGACTATGATTAGTCTTTCCTTTTATTCCCACAGTGTTGCACATCTTTGATACCATACCATCCAAAGTGCTCCTTCCAATTGGCTGACATAAAAACCATGGTCTATCACTTTCTTTTGGTACATGAGGACAAGGTTGTAGATAAAAGCAATTACCATCATAATGCTTATGTACTTTTTGCCAGTAAAAGGACAAAATATAGTAGTAGCACTTTTTGCCTAAAGATGGATCTGCATAATGCTTAATAACTTTATTGGAGTGCTTGCTTTTATAACTTCCTGAACGGTTTTTCGAGCCCATTTCAACAAACTGTATGTAATTCTTTCCTCTCTCTGCTCCAAAACTAAACTGTGAAAACTTCAGTTCTTGATGCTCCCTACCTCCTCTTAGTATCAACACCTTTCCATTATAAAAAAAGACAGTGTTCAACAGCATTCGAGGGTTGTCAAACCCCAACACTCCTTCTGACCACAGCAACTGCTCTTCATCATACGAAATTCCTTCAGTGTGTTTATCAGCTACACCTATCCCAGCACTCCAAAGCTCTTTAGCAACCCTGTCTCGTACTCCACGTAATCCGGCAAATTCTGGGTCCTTTTCATCGAGGAAATTAATAGCCTTTGGATTTTCAGACACCATGTGTCTTTGTAAATCTGCAAGCAGCAGATTAATTGTCTTGTTTAGATACCTTCCTCATTTAGCGTTACGAGTTTCCATGACATATAGAGAAAGGACCCTGTTTAGATCAGCAGCCGATCCTGTGAGCAGCACATCGGGAGCAATGTAGTCTTCCTCTGTTCCAAAACTATTTCTATATTTGACCCACTCATTAAAATTAGTAAGTGCCCACTTTGTATTGGATCTGGTAGAAATAGGAACGAATCCTTTAGAGTATTCTTCCAACTTATGAGTAGCTATATCTGCAAAATGTCTCGACTCGGATGGCTCAGTCACGGTTGCCACTGGCGGTATGTTCTCAAGGTCATCAAAAAATCTTTCAGGGATCTCTAGATCCAGCTCTGATATCGCCATTTGTTTATCATCTAATTACCACTCATCTCTCGCCTAGTTAGTCACTTTGTCGCTCTTTCTCACTTCTCCTTACACCTCGCCAGGATCGCTCGAGCTGGCTACCGAACAAAGCGGCACTGCGCCATTATTTAAATCAGGTAAAGCATAGTTAGGAGTGCCACACGGTGGGTGTTGGCACTCCTAACTATGC